GAAGGGAAATATGAGAGAAAACTCGCATTCAGATAGGATTCTACCAGTAGGCATTTTCTAAGTAGCAACCCCAGGAAAGTGAAGTCCGGGGAGGTAGTCTCCCTGAATGTAAATAATATATATTGAAGTTGAGGGCTGATGAAGTTAAGATTTCAGGGTAGGATAGTTGAGAAGAAGAACATAGCTGTTTTTCTTAAGCCTAGGCTCAAACCAAAGATGCCAGACTCCTGGAGACATAGCAGACAGCAGTGTTTTGTGGGCTTGCCAGTTGAGAAGTTCAAAACACAGCAGGAAAATGATTTTAGAAGCTGCAGTAGAGCTGGGGTCGGGGGGAAGCAGGACTGGCAGTAGTGGGAATCTGTTGGGGGAGGAGGGGACACATTCATCAACAAGGGTACCTGCATAATGAACATTTGTATACCTAACGCTGAATTGTACACCACATCTTTAAAATAAAAAATTATAAAGAAAACACTTTTATGTTGGATTTTTATCGCTCTTAAAAAGAAAAGAAGAAGCTGCAAAGTGCTGGAGATGTTGTCACAATTTAGCCAGGATACAGCTATTTTGATAAAGACCATGCTGTAAGAATACATATCATGCCCTATGAACAAGAGTGAACCGCCACATTTGTAATTGCTTCTAGTTAAAAACAAACAAACAAAAACACAGAAAAAACCACCAAACTTTAGAGAAATATTACATTATAGAGAGCTTCTACAATTTATTTTGCAAAATTTGGAAAAACAGGAAAAACTAATAAATAATCAAGGGATAATATAGTCACTAGTGACTCCTAAATATAATACATATATCAAAACTTTGAATAAAGATGTCAAAGTGACTACAATTAATATATTAAAGAAAATAAGGGCAAAGATATAAAAAATTTTAAAATCTCATATTCCAACAAATAATCAGAATCTATAAAAAAACAAGTTGTCACTTTAAAACAGCAAAACAATATCTGAAATTAAGAAGCATTAGATGGTTTAACAGCAGACTGGACTTATAAGAGGATTATTAAATTCAAATGAAGACAAGATTATGAAAGTAAAAAAGATAGAAAAATTCAAATAAAAAAATAATAGAAAAATGGAGATTATAAGGTATATGTGGACTGTGGTTAAGTTCACCCTATTCCGAAGAGAAAGGGAAAATAAAGTCAATCAAAATCACATTTTGCCTGAGAATTTCCAAAATATGAAGTGAACACTTTCATGAATTAAAAAAGCTCACTATGTCACAGTAGGATAAATACAGATAAAACATACCATAGGCATATCATGGTCATAGTATAGCCATACTTATGAAAATCAAATACAAAGAAAAAATATATTAGGGATCAGGAAAATAAAACACAACCACTTATTATCACCAGGAGGCATTTTCTTCAGCCAGAAAATTTTCTTTAGTGTTTATTGCAGTGCAAACCTACTAGCCAGGAAGACTCTCAGCTATTTTTTTCATTCTATCTTTTTTCTTTGATAGAATATTTCATCTTACATTTTAAGTGCTGTTTTCTGGATATAGAATTGTAGATTGGCAGTTAATAATTTCAACACTTTAAATAGTCTTAATATTTATTCCTGGGAGCAATGGGTGGAGGTTCCTTCCTCATGAAGGCATTTTTATTCTAGTATCAAACCTTACATAGGTAAAGCATTTGTAGCACATGACCTCTGTAGTCATTGCAATCTCTAATTCCTGGGGTTTGTTTGGCAAAGACCCTGAAGGCTGGTAAGGATTCTGTATTCACAACTTAATTTGTTTTTCTGCTAGTTGCCAGCTGTTTCCTCATAACTCTCAATTTATTTTCTATCCAATTTTTGTCCTCTGAGAATTTTGTTTATTCTCTTGCAAACCCAGATCTGCATTTAAAATGGTGCTGGTTTGCTTAACATTTAAATTGGTAGTATTGTTTAGGTGTTTTGTCATAAAATGATTTTCAGTCTCTAGTTCTAAAAACAGAAGTTAGAAATCCAAAATCTAAACATGGAAGGGAACCATGCCACAGTCATTCTCCTTTGAAATAAGTTACAGAGTCAAACTTGAATTATTCAGGCTTAGTGATTTCCAATAGGTTTAAGATAATTATAGAAAATGCATATGCTTAAATTTTGATAGCCTGAATAAGGTTTTTTTTTGTTTTTTTTTTTTCTTTTTAAATTCTATCATAAGACAGTAGTCATACAAGTCAGGCTTTGTCTAAGAAAAAATTTCAAAATTCATTATGCTTTATTTTTATTTATTTACTTTTTTTGAAAGCAAGATTTATTAAGAGGACAGAAAAGCTTTCACAGTGGGAGGGGACCTGAGGGGATTGCCCTTACTTTATTAATAAATGAAAACCTAGTTCTGTGGACTCCATTTGTGTTAACAGACACCTCATTTACAGCTCAGGTCTTTCAGCCTCAGATTTCTGGGGCTCTTGTCCACTTGTCCCAGCTCAGCCACTATCATGACCAATGCTAGGCTCTGATCAAATTGGCTTTATCTAGGAATAACCCAAGAGTACCTTACCCATGACACCTCTTGCTTTCTGATCTGAGGCTTTCCTTTTACCCCTAAACATTTGTCAGAGTAGACTAGTTGGTGACTATAATGTATGTACAACCTCTAATGTGGAATAATTAATACCCCATGGCGTGAGGCAAACCTTTGACCAATGAGAGGCAGCAGGAAGAAATTAAATTATTCACTCTAAATGCTCCTGGATGAGCTGTTCTAAAGCATAATATTTCACAAGGCCTCTCAGAGGACATTGCCATGAAATAAAATCTTTTTGTTTTGACACCAACTTCAGTAAGGCACTCTTAAACTTTCCCTACTCTCCTGCCTCATGCTTCTTTCCCCTTATTTTTACTTAAATAGTGCTACATAAGCTTTTATATCAGGTTTTATTTGGGAGGAAACCAGGTTAATAGAACCTCTGAAGTTTCTAAAAGCAAGTGGTAGAGAGAAAGCTCGAGAAACAAGGGCGCTTTTTGGAGTGCTGGAAAGTCTGCTCCTCTGGTTCTAGTGAATTGTAGAGGATAAAGGAAGACAGGTAAGAAAGGAAAGTGGCCAGATGCATGTATATCTTGTTTTTCCCACTCAGGTCTTAAATCACAAAGGGTTGTTGCATATAATCAGAAAATACATCTGAACAGAGGGACTATATCCCTTACAATCTGCATTTACTTTTCTGACAAGAGACCATTCCTTGGGGCAGTTTCATAAAACACCACAGCAGGGTGAGCCAGGAGAGTTGAGTGCAGAAGGACTGTTTTGGTTAGATGGAAGAGCCTGGGGGAAGCTCTTTTGGCCCTGGCTGCCTGCCTATTTTCTGGAAGGGATTCAGATGATTCCACAAGCTTGAAGGTGGATGTAAATATTAGAAAAGCAAAACTAAAGCTTTCACAGGGAGACATCATGGTGCAGGTGAAAGAACCTTTCACAGGAGAGCTTTGGGTGATCCAACCAAGCCAGAGGGTCATAGCGCCAACAAGGGAGAAAGTAGGGAAGGATGAGACACCAAGAAAGAAATTGTGTATATTTAGTTCATCACTGATAAATAACTCAGTATGAAACACATCATAGGCCCTGAGTGAATGACAATAATAATTCTACAGACAGCCTGTTAGGAGGTCTCTATTTCTTTAGAGAATTGAGATTGCAAAGGAAAGATTCTATGAGTGATTTGCTTCATTAATTATTTGACATCATGACGTTTTGCATCAGATAAAAAGGTAAATTTTGCAACATTTCTGCTTTTTTCTGGTAAATATGGAAAATTTGATGGTTTGTTGTTTCATTTATAAGCTGTTGTCCTTGTTCTTTAAAAACATGATGAATGTATGCAGTGAATAATATTAATAAATACCATTTATTGTGTACTTATTAGGAGTCATAGATTCTGCTAAGTATTTTCCAGTCTTCACAACAAATCTGCAAGCCTGGTATTAGTGACCTTATTTTATGCATAATAAATCGATATTCCAAGTAATTTAAGTAAATTACACAAGTTTGCACATCAAGCAATTGGCAGAACTTTTTAAAAATCAAAGTCTATTGTTGTTTCCATTACTTTTTCACTATTATTTTCTATCACTCCATAATTATGTGTAAGGGTTTTATATTTGAGTAAAAAGATTATTCAACTTACCTCAAATATCTCAGTTTAAAATCAAGCTATTTCTGATATTTTCAGCTCTAATATCATTGGTCAACTACACATCACAACAGTCACCATCTGTTCTTATTTTCCAGGATGGTATATTAAAGTTTTATTACTTTCCATAGAAGACAACTGACCAAATCAATGAGAAAAAAAATGTATAGTTTGAAAGAACTGTACATTAGGAGCTGTTACTTCTATTCTGCTTCCTTTCCTTCTGTTCTACATCCCATGGATCTTCTCCTGAACTGCACAACAGAGAAAAAAGGACACAGAAAGTTCCAATATATCTAGATATTTACTAGCATGACGTCTGCTTGAGTTTTCTTGTTTTTATGAGTTGCGTCGTTATATTTTCAATAACATTTCCCCTGAAGCTGTGGGCCATGCTCTTCTTAATGTAAGTTGAATATGCCCTAGAAAACATTACTGTCTTAGGAATAAATGCAAATATTTTAGATGTAGACCTATGTTTAAAGGAAATGTTGCCTGCTGAATTAAAAATATTTAAATAACAACGGTTGTTAACAATCTCTCCCAAATCCTGTATCTTAAATACTCTCCAAATACCTTGCCTTGTGATATTTACAAATCCTGCTTACAGGACACAAAAGATACAAATTTATTTCCTCTTATTCAGAAAATGTCACATAACCATAATAAAAGCATGTATACTATACAGCTAATATGAAAGTAGTTTGGTTAATTGTACAGTACTGACCTTCAATGCTAGGAAGATGACAGCAGAATGGGCTATAGGAAGGATGCCCTAAAGCATATGCATGTGTCCTGAGTAGGTATTGCATCAGATGTCTTCTCAGATCCATTTAAGCCCAGTTATTTTATTATTTCATAAGCATCCTCCTCAGAGTTCCTTTGACTTCTTTGTTCCTCAGACTGTATATCAGGGGATTGAGCATGGGATTGAAAAGGCTATGAAACAGCAGGAGATATTTCTTCTGCTCCTTTGGGTTCCCATTTTGGGGCCCAATATACATGATAATGGCTGTGCCATAAAAGAGTCCAACCACACAGAGGTGGGAGGAGCAGGTGGAGAAGGTTTTCTGGCGCCCATCTCGTGATTGGATCTTTAGGATGGCACATATAATATGAATGTAAGATATCACAATTGAAGAGAGGGGTCCCACCAGCACAAACACTGCCCCAGCCAAAACCATGATTTCATTAATGTGGGTATCTGCACAGGCAAGTTTAAGAACAGCTATAATTTCACAGAAAAAGTGATTAACTTTATGAGGTCCACAGAAAGGCAATGGTATGAGTAGTATTAGATGTACAAGGGACAAAAAGACTCCTAAAGTCCATGAGGACACCGCCAGAGTGATACAGACTCTCCGGGTCATGATGGCAGAATATCGGAGGGGTTGACAAATGGCCACATACCGATCATAGGACATCACCACCAAGAGGAGACATTCAGTGTGAGCAAAACTCAAAAACAGAAAGGTCTGAGTCATACATCCAGTAAAGGAGATGGGGTCGGCTGGATTCAGGAGGTTCACCAGCATCTGGGGCACCGTGCTGCAGGCATAGGCAATGTCGACAATGGCCAGGTGTGATAGGAAAGAATACATGGGGGTGTGCAGTCTGGATTCCAGCCAGACAAGCCCCAGGATGACCCCATTCCCCAGCAGGGTGAAGATGTAGAACAGGGAGAAAAACCCAAAGAGAAGCATCTGAGTTCTTGGGCCAATGGGAAATCCCAGTAGCAAGAACTCCGAGACGAATGTCTGATTTCCCCTCATTTCCCTATGAAAAAGACAACAGAGCTCATCAAGTCCTACTGTCTGGGGCAAGGGTTTAAACATGGTACAACTGTGTGTGTCATTATCTAAGTGTTTCCTAAGAAAACATCTTCAATGTTATTTTGACCTTGTCACTTACTAAGAAAAAACTGTGCATTACAAACGAAGCAGAAGGACATTTTGTCACCTATGATAAATTCAATGCTAGTATTATACTATAATATTCAGTAAATCTTTTCTCCAACTCAGCTTTCACCAAAGTTTAGAATATGTTAATCCTTAAATTGTCTTCACAGCAGTCGACACTTTCCTTTATTTGTGATAATTGTATTAAATGCTTGCCCTGTGTATTTCTTCATTGTTATGTACATGTATTCACATGTGAGAATGTGTACTGGTGTCTTTATGTTTATTTAAGAGGATGGAGAACATACCAATAATCTGTCTATCAGGTTTTCTCACAAAGTTGTGCCTTCAATATATGAAACACTTACTAGAATTTTGATCTTTACTGTCAGCATAATCTTGAATTAAGTTGAGAGAATGACATAGCAGTCTGGATTTAAACAGAGACCTTTGTTTTTTGACTTCTGTATCCACAGTCTATTCTGTTCATGCTGTCTCATGCTGATCAGAGCATAGTTACTTTCACCCTTCTTATACTTTTTATACTGCATGTCATTTATATTTTTATGTATATATTTCCATTTTCAAATTGATTTTTAAATTTAATTTTTAATAACTTTAAATTGATGCATAATAGCCATTTATGGTTTTGGCATGCATGTGATAGTTTAATGCATCCATTTAATTTGTAAAGTTCAAATCAGTGTACTTGGGCTACCCTTAAATGTTTGCCTTTTGTTTATGCTAGAAACGTTTGAACTATTGTCTTCTAACTATTTTTAAATAGACAATATATACAAATATAAATATACAAATATACAATAGATTATTGTAAACTATAGTCACCTTATGGATCTATCAAACACTGGGTCTTATTTCTCCTGTCGTACCATGTAATGATACCTACCAATCAACTTCTCTTTATCCTTCCCTCCTCTCTGCCTTTCCCAGCCTTTTGTAACCACCAATTTACCCTCTGTCTTCATGAGACACACCTTTTTGGCTCCTACATGTGAACATGTGATACTTGCCTTTCAAAGCTTGGCTTGTTTCACTTAACATAATGACCTCCAGTTCCACTCATATTTCTGCAAATAACAAGATTTCTTTTTTTTATGGCATCATAACATTTCATTGTATATATGCACCACGTTTTCTTTATCTATTCAACTCTTATTGGGCTCACAGGTTGAATCTATATTTTGACAATTGTGATTAGTGCCACAATAAACATAGGAATGCAGATATCTCTTTGATATATTGATTTCCTTTCTTCTGGATATATACCCAGTAGTGGAACCGCTGAGAATGACATGTTTACTTGTACTTGAAAATTTCCAAAATTTTTGCTATATCTTATAATAAGAATGTCTACACAGTCTCTATACACAGAAGTATGTATCAACATCTATCTGTCTGTCTGTCTATCCATTCATCTATCCTTGAATCCTTACTTTGTGCAAAGCACTTATGTTCTATTTTATTCTTGTCTACTCTATCTCATTATTAAAAATACTAGTTGAATGATTTGATGATGGATCACAGCTTGGGATTTGAAAATACTGATCTATATTCAAGGCTAGAGCCAAAATTCTAGTCATAGAATTATATTCATACATTTTAAAATACACAACAGAGTGGGTAGTCTGAGGTTTGAATCACTGTAACTTTTTAATTTATTTATTTATTTTAGATTTTAAAATATAGTTTATTTAAAAGTAAATTAAAGAGAAAGAGAAGGGAGAGAGAAGATTCACCTCCCCAAGGTAGGGGAGGGAGCCATAGGAAGCATGGCGATGGCTATTGCTCAAAGAGCACACAGCCACACCAGAGTCTAGCAAGGCAATGGCCCCACTGTAACTGTTAAACCATTGCTTCTGTTTTCTTCCTTGTCTGATTCTATAGTCTTCTTTAGCTCACAATTCATCTAAGTTTCACTAAAATAAGAATCTCAGAAAAATTCTTAATTGAATTCCTATTAATGAGTTTCCCATTCAAGCTTTTTAATAAGCTAATATTTAAAAGATTGCATAGCGAAAGTGAGGAAATTTTCACTGATTCTTCAAAGGAAGAATCAGAATTGAAAGTATAAATCATTGAAAGGTGATCATTATCTCAGTCTAAGAAATAACTTTATAATTATTGGAATCACCTTCTCGATATTTAGTTGTTTTATTAGGATTGAATTTGATGTTAATGAATGTTTTAAATCACAGGTTGATTAGCCATCTAGATGGGATTCCTGTGTCATGTGAGAAGTTGAACTAGAAGAATGCTAAGAACCCTTCCAACTATAAGATTCAGTGGTTCTAAATGCAGAGAAAAGTGTTAGTCACTTTACATCAATTTTCTTGCAATATTTGAGGCCAATGCAAATAATAATGTTATTTCTAAAATTTCTGATGATGTAGACACATAACAAAGCAGGAGAACCAATGAATGTCACCTCATCTCCATCGTATCTCTAAATAGTCAAAGCACAAAACATTAAATCTACAGGTATTAATTTAACATATTCTATGTTATACTGCATGTCTCAGCTGTAGACATGTCATTGTTTGTTGGCACATAGAATATGCTTGGATTGATGACCTAAAAAGAATCACAAATGTGATCATTCTCATGCTTAAATAACTTAGAAAAAGGAATTTCACATTTAAAAATAAAGCCTTCAGGTGACTCTTCTTCTTTTTAAAATAAACTTAGCTTGTAATTGATTAGATCTATTATGTTATAAAGTCACTACTTAATTTCATGAGTCAATAGAAACTTCTACAAGCAAACCTCTCAAATAATTGTACCTTACAATTTACACAAGAAATTTAACACCAAATGCATCAAAGTAAATTATCAATAGTTAGGTGTATCCAAAAAAGAAAATTTAAAAATTACTCTAGTAGTTAAGTCTATAAATAGCAGAAATTTGGTATTAACAGACAGTAATAATTACATTTTGCTTTGGGATTTTTCATTACAGTTTGTCTGAAATTGTATAATGAATACAGTACAATTGGATAACATAAAAAAACTTATTAATACCTCAGACTTACAGCTAAAAATGAGAAGACAAGCTGGATGACTTGAGTAAAACTTCAGAAATTCATTGAAAGCATCTGTAAGTTCACGTTGGAACTCTTTACTTCCAAGGAAAAATATCACAACTGAGGCTGGATTTCTCTCAGAAGAGATTATTTTATTCTTCTCTTAGCTCAACCATCTCTCCACGTGCTCTGAAAGTTTGGTATGGGGGAGAGAGAAAGATCTATTGTGCACACTGTCATCTGCTCTCTTCCAAGGGAAAAGGGGATCTCGCTATACTTATCTCTGGTTTTCCCTGGAGGAATGTTCAGGGCAAGATAATGCTGCTGATGGTTTCTTCACTCACTGTGGGGTCAATGATCTGAAGTTTAAGAGGCAATAGAATGACTTCTGGGTCCCCTTCATACCTTACGTTTTCCCAAACGAGGATTTATTATGATTTCGGGAACTCCAAAATGTTTCCACCTCCTTACCCTTTAAATAGTTTAACTGGTTTTAGGGCAGGTGAAACCCATATAGCATTCCATCCTCTCTAGTGTTGGCTGAATTTTATGATATGTCTGACCTGGATGTTTATCCTATATATATTTTTTTCATCAAGTGTCCACAAGAAATACAATTTATGAAGTAGAACTAGGTAGCAAGATCTGTAGAAGTTATGGAGAACATGTTAAGAAGTCAGGAAAAAAAAACGTAGGGCATCCCAGTGGGACTTATTAAACCCTATTTTGTAGAATTTAACTTAGCTGGAACACAAACAAGGAAGGAAAATTCTCACCAGAAAACAACCTGTATTCTTTAATTTCTAGTGATCTTAAGCCCAAGAGGATGCGGGAATGAAAGACCAAAATCCTCCTAGGTGTGTGACTACTGCTGTTTTCTTTCTCCTGAAATGAAAATAAACTGACCCTCTTATAATTTCAGGAAATGCAGCTGAGGAAATCTGATGGTGACTTTGTTGTTTAAATTTCTCTTTTATTCATGTGTCTAAATACATTCTCATACTCAAATATAAAGGAGGCAAAAGACAATTTCTTAAATTGAAGTTACTTTAATTGACATACCAACCAACTAAGAAAGTAACAAACTGATCATTTTTTACCCTGAGATAGGTAAAAAAATGCAGTAAGTGTGAAATGGGCTTTCTTCCCATCACTCAAAGGCTTGTGGCTGGAGTCCAGACTGTGTCCTCATGTACAGGACAGACACTGCTCCCTTGTATTGATGTCCAAGGACATCTGGTGACTAGAAAAGAACAGTTACTATTACTGGGATGTTCATGGTTCAATTTATTAAAATATGAATTCATTAATTACATTTCCTCCTTTTCCATTTCTATTTTTACTATATAAAAGGTTTCTATCTGTCTCATAATAATATATATTTGTCCCATATTTTGAAATCTATTTTATCTGAAAAAGATGTACTTTGATAATAATGCATTTTATTTGCTAATACTTTACAAAGATATTTGTATTTACTTTTAGTTTTGAGATTTAACCTGTAAGTTGCTTTTCTTTTACTGTACTTTTCCAGTTTTGTGACTAATGTTATATTAGCCTTAAAAAACAAACTAGATCGCTATCCCCCTTTTTTCTAGTCTCAAATTTCATATAATATGCAAGCTGCTCCTTGACGATTGGTAAAATTTGCTTTTAAAACTGTATGACTTAGTGTTCTTTAATTATAAGAAGATTCTGGTCACCAATTCAACTTTGTGAACATTAATTTTTTTATTTTCTATTCCTTCATAAGGAAGTTTAAGAAATATCTCCTATTTTTATTTTTTAAAATAAACTTTGTTTATAGCATTCCATTATTTTAGAAACCTCTATATCTTAGATATATAACTTCTGCATATATA